TTTTATCCTTCGGGTCCCTCGCTTTCCTTCCTCTCCACAACGCCCAAACCAACATGTCCCCTCTAGCCCCTTTCTCCATTCATGGGGTCTATCGGTCCCCCATTTTGCTCCCTGCAACACCCCCAAGCTCACCCCGACCTGCGCCCTATTCCTTCCCATCCCCTGTACGTGGGACCTCTCACCTCCCTGTTGGCTTCCTTCCCAACCCACGCACCCTCCTCGCACACCCCTGTCTCGCCAGGTCTGCGACCTTCCAGCCTCCCTTCTTCCTTCCTTCCCAACCCACACACCCCTGTCTCGCCAGGCCTGAAACCTGTCAGCCTCTGTTATTCCTTCGTCCGCGCCCTCAAGTTGCACTCCTACCCCCTCAGTCCTCCTTCTTCCCAACACTGGCAGCCTGCCATATCCTTCCCTAATCTGCTCCCCGCACCGGTTCTCCCTCCATTCATGGGATCCCTTAAGCCCCAGCTCTCCCCAATTCCAATTATTGTTCCCCATGAACTTGCTGAGTTGACTTTGCCCGCCAACCAAGGGCCCTCAAACACTCCTCCATGCTATTCTTCAACTCTGGGGCCTCTAAATCCCCCAAACTGTCAGTGTCCCTGGGATCCTCAGACCTCTCCCCTCCACAGTGCAGCCCCCAATACCATGTATTCAAGACAGTCACACTTAGGGGCTGCGTCTAGACTGGCATGATTTTGCGGAAATACTTTTAACGGAAAAGTTCTTCCGTTAAAAGTATTTCCGCAAAAGAACGTCTAGATTGGCACGGATGCTTTTGCACAAAAAGTGCTTTTGCGCAAGAACACCCATGCGCAATATAGACGCGCTTTTGCGCAAGAAAGCTCCGATAGCCATTTTAGCCATCGGGGCTTTCTTGCAGAAAAAATGACGGTGCCTGTCTACACTGGCCTTGTTGTGCAAGTATTCCTGCGCAAGAGGGCTTATCCCTGAGCGGGAGCGTCAAAGTGTTTGCGCAAGAAGGACTGAATTCTTCCATTAGAACGTCAGTGCTCTTGTGCAAATTCAAGCGGCCAGTGTAGACAGCTGGGAAGTGTTTGCACAAAAGCGGCCACTTTTGCGCAAAATCTTGCTAGTCTAGACGCACCCAGGTAGAGACCAAAATAGGAAATGAACTTCTCCACTGATCAGCCCCTTTGAGACTCTATTCTTCGCAGTCCTGCTGTCTCCCTTCACAGGACATGGGCAGGTCTGCTGGGTGAACATCTGCACAGATGTGGTCTTGGGAGCCTTCAAAAAAGTAGGGGACAACTAGTAGTCGGTTTCATCACAGGCCATGAGCTTCCTTTTGGGTACGAAGAATTCTGCTGGGTCTGCTCTGTAAGGAGACTATTTGGATGTGGGCTCAAAGCACTCTTCTCCACTGGTATTTCTGCAGTGCCAGGGAGAGGCGGAGTGGGAGGGTAGAAGACAGCAGCATAATTTATATGTGAAAAGAGGTTACGCGACATTACAGACTGAGATGCCAACGTATTCCCTTTTACGTTGTCAGGTGTACTGGTTTCCCTGGTACAGGGAGACTGAAACATAAGTTGTTTGTTTGGTTTTCCCCCTTTGCTGGGTTGGGTAGCGAGCGATAAGAAGTCAACCGTCCCAGTGTCCTCCCGTCCGGGGATGGAACGAAAACGAGAACAGCGAGCTCGGGAGGTTGGTCGAAACGAGGCGAGAACCGTCCGGCTGGGAGCGGAGGAGCCATCGCTGTCACGGAGATAAGTGTCGGGTCTGGAAATCTCTCGGCTTACGGCCCACTCGGTTCTAGGAAGGGAAGTCACTTTTGCTTCGACAGCGTGTCCGAGCGGAGGTTGCCGAGGTGCTTCCGTGGTTGTGGGAGAAACAGGGCTCCCGTTTGTCAGGGGTGCTGGTTTCTCTGGAACACGGTGTCCTACCCAGCAGATGCTTGGTTCGAGGAGGGAGACGCAAGGTGGTAAGGTTTCTGGCTGCCTCTCCTGTGTTTCTCTCTCGTTGCTCTTTCGTATTGGCCAATTCTTTCTGTCTGTCTGTTTCTGTCTGTGTCTTTGTCCTTGCTCTGCTTCTGCCGTCTCCTTCTACAGGACCCTTGCAGGTGTTCCAGGTGAGCATCTCCATGGGTTAAGGGCTCAGGAGCCAACGGGAATTATGCAGGTACGCCAATCGTGCAAGGGAGAGCGGTGGTGTGTTATGGCTGACTGAGCCAGCGCTGCTGTGGGGAGGGTCTCTGGCGCCACTTTTGGGTAGCACTGCTGGGGGGGGTCTCTGGCGCCGCTCTCGGGTTGTGCTGCTGGGGGGGGTGTCATGTTACTGGAATTTGAGGGAAGCAGCCAGATCATGGCTGCACCCATAGGTGGGGGTGCTGGCCCCAACAATGGTATAATAGGGGGCCATGTGGGGTGCTGAATACAAGCTTATTATCTGATAATCCTCTGTAAGCTATTTATGTGGTTGTATAATGTCTGTGTGTGTAGTTAGGAATCTGTAGTCTGTGTGGATACTGAATACTTCTCTGCAAGTGGCTGAGCACTGGGCAGAGCCCGGGCCTGTGGACATGCTAATTAGCGAGGCCCTGTGGGACAATGGCACTCAATGGGCCAAGGACACACCTAAAGCATGAGGGCGGACACCTAAGAGC